TGCGGATCAGAACCAGGCGTGTGTCTCACTTCTTGTGTCGCAGCGTCTCTGAAGCTTCACTTCGCTCAGTGTTTTGTTCGTGAGTGAAATCGACGCATTTTCGCTCAGAATCAGCCTCAGCTCCAGACGAACTGCGGGACGCAGATTTTTATTCACAACTTTGAGCGCAATCTCTGCTCCGAGTGCAAGAAGCGCCAGCGGACGGGTCGCAGGCAGGTAGGACCGGCGCACGTTTCTGCATTTTTACAAACTATTTCAGCGCAAACTGTTGCAGTCAGCGTGAGTGGTTCCGTGCTGCTGGCGCAGAGCTGCGTCCTGCTTCAGGCTGCTGCAGCGCACCGTGCTGTGGAGCTTTGTCACACCTCCTCTGATTTCACTGACAGCTACAAGTTGTTACAGAGAGACGGCTGCTGAGAGCTGCAGATGTCTGGAGGGATGTTTCAGGATGCTTCTCTGTTTGATCATCAGGTTCTGGTGTTTCTGTTCTTCACTTTATGTTGAAAGCTGGTCATTAATTTTCTACAAAATGAAGCAGTCAAATCTCCAGTAACTGAAGGTTTTCCTGTAGAACTCCTGCATTCTTATTCTTATTAACGACTAAATCCTTTGGTTGAGCAGCCCTCTGTACAAATGCATGGACTTATTGATGACTCTCATCCCAAACTTCACCTTGCTCCTGTCAGCTGCAGCTCAGTGTAAAGCATGTTTTGCGTGAATTTCTTGCTCTGAATCTATTTAAACCAACCCTGCTGGGAAGCATCCTGGTCACTGTGGAGGTTAAAACATGCTGATGGGGTTTCCAGCTGCTGCATCGATCTCTGCCGACACTCTGGAAAACAAACCAAATGCTTGAGCTTCAGTCAGAGTTATATCTGTGAATAATTCAAAGTGAGACAGGTGACCTTGTTGCAGAGCGCTGTATCTGATTTGTTGAGTGTTTTTATTGATGATCTTTGAGCTGGTTGAAGGCCAACAGAGAGTCTTGGTGCTGTTGGAGAATATTAAATGTGATGTCCACATGTCCGTCCGTCACCATCCACAGATCATCCTCATGTGCCCTGAAATCAATGTAAATCATCAGAAGATGTCTCGCTATGATCACTCAGCCAAACCCTGACTCTGGCTCTGTGAAGCTTTTCATGAACCACCAGCCTTTTCTCGAGGCTGTAAAATGTCAAAACCCTGTCTTGGATTTCAAGTAATGTGAGCATTTGTATTGACATTATGGGGCTGCAGCCCAGCGACTGTGGCCCAGTCTGGAGGCTCCAACAGGTTCATTATTGACTCACGCTTTATTATTCCTCTCATGGCAGGTCGGACAGAGAGAATTCATGCGACTATAAAGCTTTCATGTCAGAGATGTCGAAAAGTCAAAGATTAAACGTGCTGGACACATTTCTGTGGATGGTTTTCTATCCTCTGAGCCTGAGCTGAAAACTAAAAATAAGACGTGACGTTTTGATGGTGTCAAACAAAGACAGCTTTGGATCGGCTTTATCTGCAAGACAGTCAAACAAAGACGTTGTTGATTCCTTCACTTTCCCAGCTGCCCAGCGCTTCTGAAGCTGCTCACCGTGACCAATTAGTTTGACTTTCTAAATCTCAGAAATATCACAAAGCTCACAAACAGTGATTCTCCTTCATGGAAACCCAGCCATGGGATTCATGTAGCTCCTGTTGTTGAGGTTTTGTTCACACAGTTTGCTCTGAGAGCCTTTGGGCTTATTAGAAGAATCTAAACGTTGCTCATTAAAGGTCTAAATAGGACGAATAGAGTCCAGAGAAGGCAGGAGGCTTATAATAAAAGTGCAGTATGGAGGTGCTTCTCCTTCCCTGTTCTCTAATATAAACTTTGCCTGAAGCTATTCTGAGTCCATGCTGTGTACTAGACATGGATCTTCTGTGTTTTTCTTTCAAAGGGGATGAATGAAGCAGTGAGGCAATGTCTCTGCTTGTATTTTGTAGAAGGAGCTAAAATATTGGAGGTTTATTCAACAAGAGTTCAGTAAAAGTTTCTAAAAACACAAAACATTTATGCACCAAAGTGCTAAATGTAAAACTGAACTTGCAAAATGTGTAATTTTACCATAAAACTAAGAAATGATCCAGCACACGTCTACATTTCTTGCTAAAACTGTTGCTACACCCTCACGTCTGTATGGTGAACAGGAAGTGTCAGCAGATGGTTAGCTTAGCTTAGCTTAGCTTAGCTTAGCACAAACACTGAAAACAGCCTGGTTCTGTCTACAGATGAGCCTACAAGCTCACGTTTTGTGCTTATTAAATAAAACAATATAGTGTGTTAGTCAGGGAGCTTCAGAGATGCTAAAAGGTGGATTTGGTTCCTTCCCCTCCTCCAATCTTATCTACTAAACTAACAAACTCTTTAAAGCCCAAGTTGTTTCTTGATTTTTTTGTTCCTGTCACATTTTGACTCACGCTGGACTCATTTTTCTCTCCAATGTAAAGTCCTTGACCTCTGTGGAAACAACACAACCACGAACAAGGAAAGAAAACTCAGAAATGGAGTTTGTACTGTACAACAAAGTCATCTCGAAATAAATCACAAATAACTAAAAATAAAACCTGAAATCAACATACACAGCATGTGTTCCCACCGGCTGTAACTAATGCTGCTATGAAAGGTGACTGAGCAGCACCGGATGTTTTACTGCTTTTTCAACTAGACATCACTTAAAACTTAATATTATTTTATCTGGAGTTAATTAGTTCCAGACTTTGAAAGAAACAGATTCAAATTAACAATAATTAATAAAAATGATGTCAGTAATTGGAGAGTATTTATTATCTGTAGTTATTTAGGAGTTTCAGTTATTGAAATAATTGATGTTGTTTTTTTAAAGCTTTCCACGTTCAAGTGTCTCAGTAGCTACACCTCCATGTCTGCTGTTGCTCCTCCAGACTGCTGCTGTTCTGCTGCCATGAGTGCGTGCAGCAGGAAGGCCCTCACTTTGCTGAGCAGCGTCTTTGCAGTCAGCGGCCTGGGACTGCTGGGAGTAGCAGTGAGCACCGACTACTGGCTATACCTGGAGGAGGGCGTCATCGTGCCTCTGAACCAGAGCGTCGACATCAAGACCTCTCTGCACTCGGGCCTCTGGAGAGTCTGCTTCGTGGCCGGTTAGTGACGGGGCTGCTGCTCTCTGTGCTCCCGCAGACTGACGCTTCATCACGTGTGAGTCAGGACTGTGGCGACGGGCCTCGATTTTGCAGCATCACATTCAAAGATATCACTTGTATGGGGCGCGCTATTGCTCACCGGGTTGAGCTGGTGTCCCATGTGCAGGGCTGCAGTCCTGATGTGGAGGTCATGAGTTCGAATCCCGCTCATGGTCCTGTCCCACACGTCCTCCCCCATTCTTCTCCCCGCTTTCCTGTCTCTCTCTCTCACTGCACTGTCAAATAAAGGCACAAAGGCCAAAAAAATAAAGTTAAAAAAAAAGATATCACTTGTACTGCGCAGCATCGAGAGCAACCGCGGTCCTGATGCTGACAGATCGTCGCGGCAACCGCCTTCACACATTTGCGATTACTTCATCGGTGTCAGTGTGGAGCAGAGAGAGGAGGGCCGTGAGTAGGCAAGGAACACAAGTTCTGTCTCAGTCACGCATTTAAAGCTAACACTGCCCACACACACACACACACACACACACACACACACACACACTCCTACCAAGCAGAAATCCTCTGGTCATGCCTCAGAGTTCGCTGAAGCCAGCTGGTGTCTGTGTCACACTGAATAATACTGTGTGTAGCTGTTTTTGCAGGATGTGATGTAACTCACACGTAAACTATAAAAAAGAAGAAGAAAAAACACACGACTAGCAGATTTGAAGTGCTTGTACTTTACTTGAATATTTCCAAATCCATTTATCTGACACCTCTAGTTACTTTTGAGGTTAAGATTGCACACGACAGAGAGTACAACAAGCTTTTAAAATACAATTCAGTGTTTTTCCAGCCTTTTGGTTTCTGACATCAGTCGGGGTCACATGTCCTCAATAAACTCTCCAATAATCCAGTATCTCTTCCTCAGATTTGGTGTCTATAAAACTATATATAAAGTAGTTTAAAGCAGCTCCACCTGCAGCAGCTACAACATTGTTATTCATAATCTAATGAAGGCATCTGTAATAAAACATCAATCAGAGGAGCCATTTACTAAATGAAAACCATTACAGAACCAGTGCTGGCACTTGTTTGGTTCCTTTGTGTTACCAACCATGTGGTTTCTGTTGTTTTAAATGCGATATAGAACAAAACAGTGACTTGACTCAATGAAGCAACTGTTGCTTCTTTCAGGACTTTCACTTGTAGTGGAGTGTTTTTGACGGATCTGAATGCTCCTGCACCACTAGTTGACTGTTTTTGGACTTTTTTCTTGACTGCTGCTAAATCCAGACTTTTATTTTTACCTTGCCTGTTTTGTGCATCTTAATTTCACACATCTGCCGCAACTACATCTGGTGTTTCTCTGGACAGCCTCTAAGCTTCTGTCTGTTTCCTGTTCAGGCGAGGAGTCGGGCCGCTGCTTCACCATCGAGCACATCATGCCCATGAACGTCCAGCTGACGTCAGAGTCTACAGTGAACGTGCTCAGTGAGTAGCAGCAGCGTCGCATAACCCGTTGTGGTGTTTTCACGCTAAGTCGTGTTCTACAAAACCCATCTGAACGTAGTGAGATGGATCAGAGTGAGTCATCAACCCCGCCGCCGCCGCCGCCAGCTCCTCTACAGAATACTTATTGCCTCTTCACAGACGACTCACCTCACGAGTCCTTCAGCGTTGCTCAATGTCGAACATAACTGAAGGATAAATTACTTCAGTGCGTCACTATAATGAGCCCTAATATCCATTTGTGGAAAAAATCTGGCAATGGAGCAGACGATAGTCATCTGTCTACATTTGGTTTTTATTCCCAGACTCATTCTTCTGCTTCCTTCCAGGAGAAGCTTCTGCAGTGTGGTTTAGACACTCAGATAAAAGACACCTTTCTATCAAACAAGACCAATTAAAACAGCTCGTGTCACTTTGAGATGCTAAGATTTTCTAAATATTATCCTTCTGTAAGTTTCTTCAGCCCTCATATTCACAAGCTACTCATATATATGCATCTTTGTGATGTATATGGGGCTGCAGCTTCTTGGTGGTTAGCACCGTGGCCTCACAGCTAGAAGGTCGCCGGTTNCCAGCCTGATGGAACCATTTCTTCACCACTCTGATGTGTGTTTGGGCTCATTGTCTGGTTGGAACATCCAGCTGTGTCCAAGATCAACCTTCTGCTGATGGTTTCAGGTTCTCCTGAACAACGTGGAGGTGATCCTCCTTCTTCATTGGTCCATTTACTGCCTCAGAGCATGATGCTGCCACCTCCATGCCTGATGGCAGGTTGAGTTTCAATCATTCTGTTGTGGAAAGTTAAGAGTTATTGGAAACTTCACAAACAAAAATGTTCTAAATGACTTAAAACTTTTCTAAAATGACAAAAGGTTGCCCAAAATTTGTCCAAAATTGCCCAAAAATGACTCCAACATTGTCCCGAGCAGCTTAAAATGTGACTCAAAAGCTGTCCAAACTTAGAACTTCTCCAAGGAAGTTCTTCCTCTAGAAGGAGAACCTTAAAGCTTCACTGAAGTCTGCTGCTGGTCACTTGAAATGTTTCCAAAATCAACTATCGAAAATGACAATAAATTGACGAAAATACCTCAAAACTTGTTCAAACTTACTGAGACCTGGTCCAAAAAGACAAAGAAATTGTCCAGACTTGCTTAAAATTTGTAGAAAATGACCCAAACCTTGTTGAAAATGACAGAAAATAGTTTGAAATAACTCAGACTTTATCCAGAATGACTGGAAAGCTGTCCAAGCGAACCTACAATCTGTCCACAATTACTGAAGCTATTAAAAAAAACAAAAAAAACAACCTTCTGCTGATGGTTTCAGGTTCTCCTGAACAACATGGAGGTGATCCTCCTTCTTCATGGTTCCACTGACTTTGTGTAAAGCTCCAGGTCCACTGGCAGCAGAACAGAACCAGAGCATGATGCTGCCACCTCCATGCCTGATGGTAGGTTTGGTGTTCTTGGGGTTAAAGGCCTCACCTTCTCTCCTCCAGACATGGT